CCCTGATTCCAGCCTGAGAGCTTCGCCTCCTGCTTCATCCTCTCATAATCCTATTTGTTGAAGACAGATTTACCATATTCCTTGACTTAGAAGCATTCAATTTCTGACTCTTTAGAATTGGAACACCATTGAAAAAAGTGACTTACAACTGTTTTCACACTTATGACCATTGTAGCCTCTCTGTGGTCACTGATCCAAATTGGGGTGATTGGCAAATGGCAAGTATTAATGATGGTTGCAGTGTCCCTGTCTTGCTTAGCAAAGGAAATTGCCTGTAGGGAGAAATAGGCTCCCTTTCTACCAGCTCCCTTTCCACATTTGCTGTTGAGCCAAATTGTCACGGAGTCCTCCAAAATCTTGAGTGCAGACCCTGAAAAACACTCCTGCCAGGTCAGCCCAAACTTTCATTTCTCAGTGATGCTTCTGGGATGACTGCAAACAGGAGACTCAGGCAGCTCCATTTAATGTCATTGCAGGTAGTCCTATCATGTATTTATGAGGATTGCATCTATCATCTAACTGGGTCTTCCCTCCAATGTAATTCTTTTTTTTATATATAAATATAGTTTATTAATTTTTACAATTAAAACCAATCACAACACATACACAAATAAGCAAAAGAAAAAAAAAGAAAGAAGAGAGGAGAGGAAGAGAGGGAAAGAATTTTGAGAAAAGAAAGAAAAAAGGGGAAGAAAGAAAGAAACAGTTTATAAAGTAAAAAGTATTCTTATTTTAACAGTTTGCAAGATCTTTCGTTTTCATAACCTTAATTTGTGTCATATAACCACACCTGTTTTTAACTTATATCGCTACCTTGTTATTATAGGTTGATACTTTTCTTTCATGCCTTATGATATATAATTTATCTTTGATCAATCCAATTATACCAACAATTCCAGCTATCGTAGTATAGTGAAGTGTCTTTGTTTTTTAGCGCCAAAGTCAATTTATCCATTTCTGCACATTTTGAGATTTTTTCAATGATCATTTCTTTTGATGGAATTTGATGTTGTTTCCACTGTTGAGCCAAGGCTAATCTGGCTGCTGTTAAAATGTGTATTGTTATGTATTTGGCTTTTTTGGAGATTTGCTTATCAAAAATCCCTAGTAGGAAGGACTC